TTAAAAAAAAAAGTAAAAGTAATGCGACAAAATCAAGTTCGTTTGTCAAGTTTCGCCATAATAGTCCATAGAGAAAGATAAATAAAAAGACGTTCCAATTCCAAACCACGTGTCTTAAACTACACTCGTAGAAAACGTGTGATATGATCGACAAATGCATTACACTAGGAACATTTTATTCATACGAAACTGTATTCATTGGTTTTAGTTGAATTTTAAAATATACTCATATTATAATAATTTTATGTTTTATTTTTATCCAATTCACCAAAAAAAAAACTTAAACGAAACGGAACGTGTTTGGCACTTTTGACAGCGTGTTTTTGTTAACCTTGCTAATAATACTGGAGTAACTGTTTTGCGTTTTGGATTTGTTTTGTGGATTACGATGAGGTGCATCAACTGCGGAATAGGCGTACAAAGGCTGCAGAGGCGTCTTATATCCTCGCTTTCTGCACACCATCAAACAAAACTTTCACGTTGGTTAACCAGCTCAAACCCAGGTATGAAGTCGGAATATACATATAATACTTAGTCTGTTTTTTTATGTTTTATCATGGTATGCGATTTCAAATAGTGCATCTTTTTTTTAGTTGCCTCTGGGGACATTCATTTGTCAACCACGCTTCTTATTATTGAATACTGAGGCTGGTGAACATGAGAGACTACATAAAACTTGAAAACATGTGTTTATTCTAACTGGGGTTTATTTTCAGACCTCAAGAAGCAACTATGTTTGTCATGTGTGTTGTATGCGGGCAAATAGACAGACAGTGCAGGACTTATCACGAAACTTGCAGGAATTGGGTTCGGACAACAATGCAGTAGCCCCTTATATTCAATTGGTTAGCCCACCAGAGCCACCACCATTACCACCTGTTTTAAGCAGGCCGCTTCAAATGGAAAGTACTACCATATTATTACCCAATTATACAGAACATATATTAAAGAAACGTACATTCCATACACAAACATAATAAAATACACTTTATAATAAAAATATAAAAGTGAATTATTACGTAGTTTTATTTTATTTATTCTCCTTAATAAATAAATCATTATTCTTTATACATATTATTTTGTTTTATTTTATAAATAAATAAATAAATAATTAAAACGCCATGGTTTTTAAAAGCAAAATCTTATTTCGTGCACTTATGGCCAGTAATCTGACTAAAGGTTTAGTGAAATTTTCGTCTTGTATGTTATAATTACGAGTTCTTCATGTGTTTTATTTTTTGCAATTTAATTTATTAATAATCACGAATGTAAACACCAAAAATCATTGATGTACATTGAATTCAATAACTATGCAAACGGCCATACAAAAGTTGGCCATGTCCTTTCTGTATGCAGAGTTGAATGACCGTAACAAAGGGACGAACCGACAAACAGAATGACTAATTTTTGTATTTTTTTTTTATGAGATATGTTGGCAAACGAGCATACGGATTACCTGATGGTAAGCAATCAGAGCCGCCCATGGACACCCGCAACGACGGAGGAGTTACGAGTGCGTTGTCGATATTTAGGGATTAGGGATTTGGAGATTTTGGAAAAGGGAATGGATTGGGTAGGGGAAAGATTAGGCCTCCGGTAACCTCACTCACACGGCGAAACACAACGCTTTGATTATTTCACGCCGGTTTTCTGTGAGGCCGTGGTATCACTCCGGACGAGCCGACCCATTCGTGCCGAAGCATGGCTCTCCCACACTTAAAGGCTTCTCCTGCTTTAGGCCGAGGCCGCGGTACCTTACTGCGTTTGCACTGCCTAAACAGCTAAACTAAATATTATACGCGGACGAAGTTGTAAGCAGAAGCTAGAGTAGAATTGAGTAGTTTCCTAGGTCAAAAATATATTAATTTGACATTTCAATACAGTAAAATAACTAAGTAATCTTTTATCCATAGATCTGTCGACACACTCAATGTTTGATATTTTGAAGCTATTTTTTAAGTAATAAGTAAGCTATCCATACTATTTAATATTATAAATGCGAAAGTAACTCTGCCTCTCTGTCTTTTCTTCACGCCTAAACTACTGAACCGATTTCTGTAAAATTCAGTACAGACATAGTTTGCAACTCGAAAAAGGACATAGGATAGTTTTAATACGAAAAATCTGCAGGAAGTCACAATTCCACGCGAACGGAGTCGCGGGCAAAAGCTAGTGCCGTCATAATTCATACAAATTTCATAGAAAAGTATCGTTTTCGACGTTTGGATAAAAGTAATTGAATTTGACTAGTTGGAAACTACCGTATTGGGGCGTGAAACTACATAACTAACCTAACAAAAAATACTATATTTTAATCTGAATACTTTAATTGCAAATTCATGTCGCACATGTATATACTACTGATAAAAATTAATTCTAGTTACACAGACACTGTTTATGTGTTGCCCATTATCTGTATACACACACACATACACACGAAATAGGCATATACTTACATAACTATAGGTAGGTACATATGTAACAAACACGAAACGAACAGAGTAAAGATACTGAAATTAGCAATTTATATAGTAATAATAATAATATTATAAAGAAGTAAAAGCTGTAAGTTTGTATGTAGGGGGTAATCTTTGGAACCGCTGGTCGGATTGCCAAAATTCTTTTACTGATAGATAGCTACAATGTTCCTGAGTGCTTAAGGCTAAAAAACATCACGCTACGATCAAATTTAGCCACTTTAGTATTTTCTCATGTGTCGTGGGTGCGTTTACACATCACATACAATTTCACACCCAGATCCGGAACAAGAATTTGTGGATCACACAAAGTGTTGTACCGTGCCGGAATCGAACCCGCGACACCTTGCACAGCAGCCAGTTGCCCAGCCATTGCATCAACCGTGAATGATTCCATATGAGTTTTAGTGAGAGGATAATCATCAAATAACTTCTCCCGCCCAGGGTAAGGCGAGAGGGAGTGTCAGACTCTTACTGACTAAAAACCCCCCTGTTCCTTCTCCTGCTTTAGGCCGAGGCCGCGGTGCCTCATTGCGCTTACCTCGTAACCCAGCTGAACATCAGCCCTATAGGGCCCCGTCTGTGGTAGTCTATTGGCTCTTTAAGGCGCGCGCGGAACGCTACGCGGCGTACGCGCGGGTGAAGAATCAATAATTTATTAAAGATTGCCGCCAAAGTCGCGGGCAGGAAGCTAGCAAAAATTGTAACATTTATCTATATTTAATAATAAGCTATATATATATGTAAGTACTTATATACTTATATATGTATACAGAATAGTACTGTATTATAGACTTATCATTCAACACGTAGGTACTTCATTTTATCACACTTATTTCACACATGGATGAATATTAGACTGAGTTCTAACTATACTGGTTTAATTGCTTACTGCTAATCTAATAGCTGACTTAGAAATTGAACTTTAGCAAGGTTAAGTTACATTAGTTAAGGTTACAATCTTCCAAAATCGCTGCAACTCCTGTGCACCAGAATCTACAGTAGATACAACCATGTAAACATCGGAACACTGAAGTCCAGCGTGTCCCAAGGACATGAATCACTGTCATGAATCCCGCAATGAAATAAATCAGAAGATATTATCCGAGACAGAATGACTTAAGCCTTAAAGGCACAAAAGAGACTGTACAAGTGGAGATGCCCAGTTACAAAATAGCATGAAAAAAATTTAAACTCTTTTCGTTTTTAAGCCTTAATTGAGGTCAGTTTACGGATTGGTTTTTGGACAGTGATCAAAGTGAAATTTAGATACAGGAAGAGGAGCCTTCTTAGCCATACAACAAATATGGTAGATGACTGCTCAACTTCAACTCTTTGCAACTTGTATTATTTGTATTTGAGTATTTATTTGGATCTCCAACAAAGATTACACCTTACAAACTAAAAATAAAACATAAACAGATAGGTACAAATCCTTGTGCATCTTCAAATATAGGAGACCACAACTTGCATTAATTAATTAATTATTATATACTATGGAATAAAGTATACCTACAATCTAAAATAGAATTATAATTGCATAAGTAGCATATGTAAGCTTGGCAACTACCAGTTCACTTATTTATAACACATTATTTTGATCTTATATATAAAAATGGATCGCAAAATGTGTTGGTAAGCGCATAACTCAATAACGCCTGGACCAATTTTGCTAATATTTTTTTTGTTGTGTTCGTTATTTTAAGGAGACGGTTCTTATGAAAGACAATTTTAGAAAAGTAGAGGAAATAGCTAGGAAATATAACGTCGTTAGCGAGATAGTCGGAGACCCGTGCGAAGCAGGGGAGGGCCGCTAGTAGACAATAAATATGCAGAGGTTCCCACAATCCTAATATTATAAATGCAAAAGTTTGTAAGTGGATTGATGGTTCGTTACTCATTCACATACATACTAATGATGAGATCTGAATGAAGGTTGGCACATAGACTACAGTCTGGAATAAGCAATACATAAGCTACCATTACCCAGGTGATATTTCACCTAGCTTGCTCAGTTTTATACTGTTTCCATCCTTATTTCACCAGCTAGAATAATCTGCATGAATAGCCATGGCAGTTAACAAAGTACTTTCAATATTTTATAAATAAAACTTGATCATACCTTGGGATTAATTAATGCAATGCAGTCAATTAAAACTATTATAGCTTTGTGTAAAACCAATTATAGTGAGAACCATGACCTGTGCATGCATCACTGATAGAGATAGCCTTGTTGTATTTTTTTTTATAAATAGTTAAAGAATCTAACATGTTTAGCATTCTATCTTTCATTAGACATTTTACAAATAATTTAATTAACAATAAGTGATAAGAAGGCATTGAAATTGAGTTTTAATTAGTCATTTGGCTAATTGCTTGTGATTTGCACTAGATAAATAAATATATTATTAGCATTTTAAAAACTTTGTTCTGTACAAGCAATACAAATTAAGTGACAGAATAAACTTTTAAAAATCCTAGATCTAAGTCAAGGTATTAAGCTATACAGCCTTTGTGACTCACCATCGTAGTCTGTTGATCTGAAGTCGCGGGCAACAATAGTTACTGAGTTTTTGAATGAGTTGTATGCCCACAGGGGCATCTCGATTGATGCCGCTCATCCTCCAGTATTTTCGTTTTAAAGTCCTCGCGAGACCGTCCGGCACGAACCTCATTCACGCCCCTTCACCGCAACAAATACATTATTATAACAACACACCTCTTTTGTTTACATCGACAATGAAAATAAAGTTCGATCACGATTTGGCCTATCACGTAGTTTTTATTTTGTAATGAAGTCAAATATTTTGTTATATATCTTATAATTCACAAGTTAATTTTGAAGTCGTTAGTTTCGAGATTTTCGCGATAAAAAATATTATTTTATAGCCGTATGTTGCTATCGACACGTCCTCTGCGATTGCGTTGCGTTACTAAGCGCATCTTCGCTCTATAGCCCTGACATTTCTCTCTCGCTCACACTTATTAGGACAGACGAGGTAAGAGCATAAAATATGCTAAAAACGATTGTTTTGCAATTTTTTCTGGCCTTGACATTCGTAATGTCATTAGGAACAGCTGTCATTAATGTTTGACACCGCTTTTCGTTTCGTTTTTGCATTGATGTGCCGATTTTATCAAAATAATTAGAATAAATTAAATTACTTATAAAACGAATTAATAAGTTTTTATATTAATATTTTATTTTCATATTTTCAATTACCGTTTTATAGCAATTTTATAATTTAATTTTGTTGTTTTAACATTGAACAACAGATGGCGTTTTCTGATAGTTCTACTATTACGCACTAGATGGTACTTTTTCGGCAGTATTATTATTTCGCTAGATGGCACAAAATTGTCATTCAACAATTTTATTATATTTAAGAAAAGGTAAACACGCAGTTTTTGCAGATCATATTTATTTGTCGGAGCGACGATTATTTAAATTGAGTTTTAAAGGAGGTTTTATTACAATTCATCGGACGAGGGTACCATAAATCGTACTCTGGCGGAACGTCAAACTGGCAGTTCTGCGTGCGCATTATGGTGGAGAGCGAGCGCTGTGACTGTCATCTGAGGCGGATCGCCGACGTCCGTTATTTTTGTAATTTATTCGGCCTGATTATAAAATCCTACGCCCTGCGATGGACTGTGAAGACGATGATCGGCATGTTGATGTTTGTACCAACCCCCCGGTGCCTTCATCAGAAGTGGGATTTGATGGGAAACCATCTGATAATCCGAAAGAACGACCTGTAACTGACGCGTATGAAAAAGGGGCACGCAGTCATCTGTTTTTCATGCCACGTTTCTACTGCTTGCTTGGAGAAGAAGATCAGCGGTGCAACATTTGAAGAAGTCATCATTTGCCATAGAGCTTCCAAAGGCGTGTTGGAGATATCTACGGGTGAGGAAGTTCCATTTCTTTGGGATAACGGGTCATCTTCCTCATTATCTGCGTGTTCATATGATTGAACCAACGACTGTATTGATAACGCGCGAGATAGTTCCCAAATTAGAGATTAGTGATTTGATGGTTGTACCTAGTTTCATCTGGGTAACGTGAATGTCTGTGAATATAGTTGTGAGTTGGCGTAACTGATCTTTGGGAAGGATAGTGACGTCCGGTCTAAGTCACGTGGTGTCTAGTCGGAGGGACGCACTAGTCTGACCCAGGCAGGTGATGTGGTGAGCTGGTCGGAGGGATGATGTGGTCTTGCCGGAGCATGTTGGCTGGTGGTAGAGGCGCATACATCCGGTCCACGCACACCAATCGCTGAGGCCGTATCAATGTGGTTTGGGATAAGATGTTTTGGAAGTAGGTACAACTGAAAATGATGATAATGTTACATCGATGTTGAGTACAGTAACCAGACGATGTTGAGTGAGATAGTGCATGTTAGTCAGGATGAACGAGCAGCGTGCTATACACATGGAATCTTCCTTTTGTTCCAGAACTACCACATAACTAGGATCGCTCGAGGACGAGCGAATGTCAGTCTGGCCGTGTCGGAGCGACGATTATTTAAATTGAGTTTTAAAGGAGGTTTTATTACAATTCATCGGACGAGGGTACCATAAATCGTACTCTGGCGGAACGTCAAACTGGCAGTTCTGCGTGCGCATTATGGTGGAGAGCGAGCGCTGTGACTGTCATCTGAGGCGGATCGCCGACGTCCGTTATTTTTGTAATTTATTCGGCCTGATTATAAAATCCTACGCCCTGCGATGGACTGTGAAGACGATGATCGGCATGTTGATGTTTGTACCAACCCCCCGGTGCCTTCATATTCATATTCTATTGACGGTAAACCTACACAGTAATGCCCGGTTAAGTACATGTCAACAGCCTATTCTTATATAAGTGTGTACCTAGGTCGGAGTTCATGACATTTCACGTGTGTATTAATTAAATCAACAAGTTTTTTTTGTCAACTTTAATAAACACAACTACAAAATTTCAATGTCAATACGTTGTCAACAATAGAAGTACCGAGTCTAGATGTTTAGCACCTTTTTGAGTTAAACATCGTAAACATATGAAGGTATACATAATATTAATTCCCTAATTCTATTTTATGGAAAAAACAATCATGTGTTACCACATTAAAAATTATTGATGAGCAAGAAAATTATTTTTTTTTTTGTTGGAATCCCCAAATGACTCATCTCACCCTGAGAGGGACAACACAGAGTGTCAGACTCTTACTGACTTTAAAATAACCCTGTTCCTTCTCCTAGGTACCTACTCTAGATAGATGCCACGGTGCATCATTGCACTTGATGCGCAACGTAAGTGAGGTATCTTCTACGTATAATATTAGGTACAACAACACATGAGGCATCCTGTCTTATTGTTGATGAACTTTATTTACCTACCGATACAACTATTTTTTAAGAATAGAGAATGAGAGAGAGAGAGAGACCTTTCCGTAGCTCGCTTTGAGACTTTCAAAACTTTTAATCGTAGTAATATGAGACAAAGCAGGTGCACGAACGCCGGCGTTCGCTAGGGGTTTGATGGATTAAATTGGTTAACAGTTGCACTGTCAGTGTCCAAGTCTCGGCACCGTGGGTCGTCATAGGTAGAACGCATGCGTCAACGACTTTTGTCTTCAGACTTTGCAGTATCTTTATTTATTTATTTAAGGTAGGCTCACAGCTTATGTAGGTGTACAAAGTGGATTAAAGTAATGGTTATAGGCAGTAGGTCATATACACTAGCCAGTTACGAGCTAACCAACATTCTAAAAATTATACGTTTATACAGTCAAAATATATAGAAATTAAAACTAGAACTAATTAAATTAACATAGGTAAGACAACAGTATTAATCATATTAAAGTATTAACTAAATAAAATTACAATTGAAATTTGATATGGACTACCATTTATAAATTTAGTATTGTGCTACATGAATGTATATTATTGTAGTTATTATTTTAGACATTTTAGACATCTGTGACGAGAAGACCCAATCAAGGTTCTTATATGACATGCTGCCTAGTCAGGCTGTATCTTTCTACAAGCTTCCCTCTTGAAATTGTTTCTACCAAACTGAATAGTGTGCCCTAAGTGCACATACGGTGATCGGCTCCGAAAGAACATGCTAATTGAACATAACCTTTGTTTTTTTCAAGTTCATCCGTAGTCGAATGCAAGCAGTTTCAGCCACGATGACGATATCATCCGCAAATATCAAATATAAAAGGTTGAGGAGCGTAATTCATCAAATGACTTCTCTCACCCAGAGTATGCCGAAAGGGAGTGTCAGATTTGATTCAGTGGAAAGGCGTGCAAAAAGGCTGATTGGTGATCCAGATTTGGTTGGGTCCAATCTTCAAAGTCTCGAGCACAGGCGCAGAGTAGCCAGCGTTTTCTACAGGATGCATTTTGGAGAGTGTGCGCATGAATTGCACGATTTAATTCCGCCATCCCAATTTCACCTTCGGACATCCCGGCGTACGGCGAATATCCACCCCTACGTTGTTGAGACACCTGCGGCCCGGACTAAGGGTTTTGCCTCGTCATTTATACCGCGTACATCGAGGGATTGGAACAGTTTGCCGGCTGCAGTCTTTCCGTCCGAATACAACTTAGGTGTCTTCAAGGCTAGAGTGAATAGGCTCTTAATAAACTAGTGCGCCTTACCATCAACGATTGCATCACTGCTTACCATCAGGTGGGATCGCACTCAAGCACTAGATTATTGCATGTTAAAAAGACTCTTACTACCTAAAACCACCCCCGTTGCTTCTCCTGCTACAGGAGGCCGAAACGCAATAAGGTACTGGCCTTATTGCGTTTAACCCGCGACGCGACATTTGAGAGATGTATGCCGTTACCAATTGTACGCTTTGGCTGGCACCGCACCTGTAGTTCCACTGGTGTTGCAGGTGTCCATGGGCGTCGATAACTTACCATCAGTTGATCCGTAAGCTCGCTTGCCACCTATTCCATAAAAAAATGCAGCGTCTTGAAAATATCCGCCAAAATATTAGTGACAAATTTGGGAGAAATAACGCTTCCCTGTGTTACTCCTCAATGCAGCTGTATAGGTACTTGTATGTAGCGCCAATTGACTTGGCAGCATTGCAAGGACTCTGAAACCAGGTTTCGATAAGCTCAAACGCTTTTCCTTAGTCAATAAACGCAGATAATATAATATACTCCTCAATTTTCTATAGAATCTGCTTCATTGTATGCTTGCGGCCTATGGTGCAATATATAACCTACATTAATTGTGAGTGCAAACGAAGGATGGAACGGGTAAATCTCGACCACATTCTGGATTGACTAATTGAAAATCAAGCGCAGTAGGAATAACTTCTTTAATCATACTCCCAGACACTAGATGGCGCAGATCTTAATTTTTAAGCCTTCACGCAGTTTAGGAGTTGGGACATGGAGCGAATGCCCCGTTTACCGTATCAGTGGACCAGCCCTGCAGGTAACTAATGTAGCCGATTGTTGCACTAAATATTTGTCCACATTCACTCGAAGTCAGCACCTTTCGGATTAAAGTTATTTTTTTTATACAAATGACCTGCCACACTCTTTGATTTTTCCTGTGTCGTGGATGCGTTTTACAATCATAAAACTTCACACACACATCACGCCCAGACCGGAACAACAATTTGTAAATTACACGAAGAGTCTGTGTGGAAATCGAACCTGTGACACGTTGCGCTGCAGTCACAGCGCCAATGGTGCAGAATCTGTTTTCAAAGTCACACATTACACACTTTTGAACGTCAAACCAAATAACAAAATGATAAAAAGATTAAAACCGATAGTCGGTCAGTCCTCTAGTGAAGCTATTCGCTCATTCCAAAGTGTAGATTCCTATGGAGAAGAACGAGCAAGAAAGCATGGTTACTCTAATTCAATCACAGTACTTGGTTATATAAAAATAACATTAGGACATTGTTGATCCTCCTTGACAATGATAGAGCAATGGAATTAAGACCAATTTTATCAGAAAAGCCTTATTCTTCTCCAGGACACGGTGAGAGTATGGCCTCTAAGGACGAAAGCAAATAAAACCTATTCTGACGTAACCCACCTGACAGTTGGCAGTTTAACAATCAATAGACGAATGCAAGCACAGTCACAGTCATATGCAAAAGTTAATATAAATACGAAAAGTATTTGTCCATGAGCTGTGGATAACATTGAGCGCGTCGCAGATCACAGTCTGACCACTAAGTAACACCGGCGCACGTAGTGTAGTGGCTACGTGTTGATAGATGAAGACGTGTGAGTGGTCTACGAGTGACAAGAGGAATACTGCTCTTTCAGGATATTCAGGTAAAGGATTCTAAGTTACTTTGTTCTTTTACTTAACATTGTGATATATGAGTACAGTTTTTGGTTTTGGAAAAGGCTTTTGATTGTGTTTTATCAACGAATTAGCGATCCGCTATTAAGTGCAATACTGAAAATAAATTTCTCCAATATTTTATGGATGTTATTATGCTTATAAACCTCCCTTCTTTAATCACTCTGTCTATTAAAATAAACCGCAATAAAATCCGTTGCGCAGTTTTAAAGATTGAAGCGTACATAGGGATATAGGGACAGAGAAAGCGACTTTGTTTTATACTGTGTAGTGATTCACTCTATCATATTCATTTAAACCTTTTATTTTAATTTCTAGGTACTAAGTGTATTTCCAAAAAATGCAATCAAACATCGTCTAATTCGGGAATTAAATAACTAATATTATTTTGTGACTCAGCCGCTGCGATAACTATTATTCCAGTTCAGTTTTATTTATATCAAATACTAGCTACTCTCGCGCGGTTTCACCCGCTGCTCAGCTTTAATCGTAGCGTGATGTTTTATAGCCTATAGCACTCAGGAACCTTGTAGCTATCGCTGAAAGAATTTTGACAATGCGGCGAACGGGTCCAAAGATTACCCCCTACATACAAACTAGAGTAATTATTAAAGCTAAATCTCTTGTTAACCAGAATTAAAAGATTTGGATTAATATTCGCGGGGGATGTTGATAACGCCCATGTCTGGCAGTGGACGGAGTCAGGCTGATGCTATAAGAATATTAGAAATAAATGATGAACAAAATAAAATTTTAAAAACAATTTTCTTTAATTTTAAATTCCACAAAAACAATGTTGCTTCACAATAAATTAATAACTTTATACGTAGGTAAAGTACCTATGTCATCGCTTCGCAGTAACTGCACAATTCTGACACATACTTACTGATGTCCCAAGCAATAAAAAATTTTAAACAATGAACTACATAATATTAACTTATTCAGAAATAGTTATTCTCAAATAGTTATTATGTGGAAGCTATAAAATAACCAACGAAACTTACGTAAGTGGTGTATGGTAAATATGGCATTATAAACGCTGTCGTGTGTGAGTACGGATGTATGTTTGTTACTCTCTCACGTAAACACTACTGAACGGATCTGAATGTAATTTGGCACAGAGATAGATTACAGTCTGGGTTAACACATTTGACCCTGGTACCGCTTGTCAGGCCGCTTGATTTTCCATTACATAAATCATGACAACCTTATCATAATCATCATACCATGACCGTCAAGTGTTGGACGATGGGCCACTTGTACCTAGTTCTTACGTGAGAGAGTAACAAACATTCGCGTTGTAATATACTTGCTTCCGCCCGCGGTTTCGCCTGCATGGTAATTTTTTATAAGGCCTATGTGTTAATCCAGGGTTTATTTATTACATTAAGGGCTGATTTTTCAATCTTTAACCGACTTCAAAAAAGGAGGAGGTTCTCAATTCGACGAGTATTTTTTTTTTTTTTTATGTATGTACACCGATTACTCGAAGACGCCTGGACCGATTTGCGAAATTCTTTTTTTATTCGATAGGGTATACTTGCCATTTGGTCCCATTGTCATGAGGTCATGACCTGATGATGGAATCCTGGAGAAACCGAGGGGAACTTTCGAAAATTGTAAGGGCGAGTAGTTTTTTTGTATGATGTTTAAGTAGGCCTTTAACAACACTACAACTTGACGAAGGTCGAAGTCGACCAGATGATGGAGCTGGAAGACAGTCGAGGGATCTCCTTGACTATTTGGAGTAGTTGCCTTGTGTTTGGGCTTGAATGATTCGTATTGGCGAGCACTTTGCAGCAGGCTTAGTTGTAACTGTCATTAAGGGTCTGATGATGAGAACGAAGGACAGCTCAGGGAACTCCTGAACGGTCTACAGTAACTACTTCGTGTTTAAACTTAATTCATTTATATTGATGAAAACTTCGTACCTGTATGTATTATTACAACTGAAGGTCTGCAGTTTACCTGATGATGGAGACCATTGACCGTCGAGGGAGTTCCGGATGGAACCGAGAGACAGTCGAGAGAACTCCTCGACGATTCATAGCAGCTTCCTTGTGTTTGAGCTTAATAAATTCGTTTTGATATGAACTTTACACCTAGATGGATTGTGACTGTCATTAGGGATCTGATGATGAAGACGAAGGACAGTCTAGGGAACTCCTCAACGGTTTACAGTAGCTACCTCGTGTTTGGACTTAATTTATTTATATTGTTAAGAACTTTCCCTCTTCTAGAGAGATGACCTGTGTCCCAGTAGTGGGAAAATTAAAATGGCTGATGATGATGATGATGATGATGAGAACTTTCCCATTTCTTGGGATCTATATTTTTTAATAGAGCGGCTCCTTTCGTAGGCCTACATAGCTACTTAAAAATATATACTATTCAATATGTTAATTTATATTTAAAATGTTACTGTAGTTTACAGAAGAACTTGTAACAGACACTACAAAGTAAAAAATAAAAAAAAACTACGTTTAAAAAAACCGACTTCAAAAACAAAAAAGTGTCAAATAAGTAATTAAAATTGATATTTTAATACCACTCTTACGTACGCGAAGCTAATACTTTTAATATTAATAATAAAACATTATCAATTCTATGTGCTACCTATTCATAGGTTTGAAGTCGGTGCCAAGCCCTAAACAGAATAAAACTAAATGAGAATTCAAACTTTTTAACTGCTAAAAGACGAAATTTCCGCAACCAACAACGAAGCTACCTACGACTACTTTTAACATCCAAGTAGGTACGAGAAAACTTTCAGAATTCATAATTCATCCAAATATCTTTCTAAGCTATATACAGTTTCGCCGGTAACGCAACCATAAAGACTTCTGATTCTACGCTAACGCCATCAAGTTAGAAAATCTTTACTAAATTTCTTAAATCCTAACAAATAAATTCACACGCGCCCGGCGAGTGTGAATTGGCTTGGCACCGACTTTAAACCTATGAATAGGTAGCACATAGAATTGATAATGTTTTATTATTAATATTAAAAGTATTAGCTTCGCGTGCGTAAGAGTGGTATTAAAATATCAATTTTAATTACTTATTTGACACTTTTTTGTTTTTGAAGTCGGTTTTTTTAAACGTAGTTTTTTTTATATATAAAAATGGATCGCAAAATGTGTTGGTAAGCGCATAACTCAACAACGGCTGGACCAATTGTGCTAATTCTTTTTTTGTTGTATTTGTTATTATCAGGAGAAGGTTCTTATCAATGAAAGTATTAGAAAAGTAGAAGGGAAAATTATGGAAAAAAATCCCCTTTAATAGCGAGATAGTTAGACCCGTGCGAAGCGGGGACGGGCCGCTAGTGGTTAGATAAAAGTTAAGCTAATTCGTGAATAATTATGATGCTGTCGCGTCACAATGTTTGTATAAGACAGTGACAGCAACAATTTTATTCCTCAGATAACATTTATCTGACTATTGAAAAATCCGCCCTAATAGGACTATCTGTGCCAAATTACATTCAGATCCGTTCAGTAGTGTTTACGTGAGAGAGTAACAAACATCCATCCGTACTTACAAAGTTTATAATATTAGTATGATCTAACAACAAAAACACGTGACCTATGTAATCCTTTGCGACTGTTGACTCTGTGTATTTGTATAGGTCTGCACGTTCAAGCGCAGAGTTCAAGTCAACAGCAAAATAGCTATCAAGCAAACAGTTATTCTAACATCTTGTAGTTAAGTCAACAGTCAGGTAAAACAATATTATTTGCCAATGCACTCGTCTCGCATTGCCGTAGTAAGCAAATGTTATAAATGTGTTTATAAAATAGGTACAAGGATTCCGGATATAACCTAACCTAAATAAATAACGCGCAATAATCGCTAGTTAGTTTATAATTTTTAATTTTTATTTTATTTAAACACATAATATTGTAATCAGCGCTATAGTTAATTGGATTACAAGAACAGCTGCGTGTAACAGTTAACTGTATGTACCTGTGTTAATATCGCTGATTAAATTTGTTTATTATTTTCTTAGCTTTCGCGATTACAGCGCCATCTATTGATACTTCCTAAACCTACCACGACTGGCAACGTTATGACTGTTAATAACGGGATGAGTTTATTGCAAAATAACGAATACAATTCAAGATTTTTAGTTATAATTTTAAATATTTAAAGCTCAATCCGATTACGGATGGTCTAAACCACGGAGTAAGAACAAAGTTTTGTTCTTACTCCGTGGTCGAAACTAAGAAACGAGAGTTCATACTCGGAGGTAATGAAGGTTTCAGGTACTCATTTCGGCCAGCATGCCAAACGAAACAAGTGATATTCATACAAACTAATATTATAAATGTTAAAATAACTCTGTCTGTCTGTCTTTTCTTCACACTTTTTGGCACAGACATAGTTTGGAACTCGAGAAAGGACATAAGTAGGGTAGTTTTTATACCAAAAATCTGCAGGAAGTAACTATTCAACGCGAACGGAGTCGCGGGCAAAAGCTAGTAGGTACAAAAATAACACTCTTCTCATTCATTTTAATCGCATTACTCCATAAAAATGTGAAGTAAAGCTAAAAATTAAATGTAGGAGAGCCATGCTTCCGCACGAATCATGGGTCGGTTCGACCGGAGCGTACGACTTTGCAGAAAACCGGTGCACGTGAATCAGCTACAACATTATGTTTCGATGCATAAGTGAGGATACCGGCGTTTTATCCGCAGTTTAAAAAATATTATATAGCAACATTGGTCCAGGCGTTGTTAAGTTTTATGCTTACCAAAACATTTTGCGATTCATCATCATCATCATCAGCCTATAAGTGCCTACTGCTGAGCAAAGACCTCTTCTCATACGGAGAAGGTTTGAGCATTAACAACCACGCTTGCTCAATGCGGGTTGATGATTTCAAACTTATAATTAGAAATTATAAGTCCAGGTTTCCTCACGATGTTTACCTTCCCCGTATGTCAGTGGTGTTTAAATAATCTTAGAAAGTACATATAACTCGGAAAAAGTCACATTGGTACTTGCCAGGTTTCGAACCATGCATGAGAAGCGGGCTCCTTAACCTCCGGGCCACCACGTCCGAAATTTTGCGGAGTTCGAGGCACGGAGTACTGTTTGATGAGAGTTTCACAGTTGTACAAGTGGATTGATTGACAGAGAGATGGAGATTGAGAAGCAATGCTCTCTGTTCGCCAACCAGGGGGTTTTCTTTATCTAAGTGTGTCATTACTGGCAACTTACCCTTTGATTGATTGATTGTGTTAGTCTTTAGGCAATGCGGGGTTTCGCGTAACTTCCCGAACAATGTCCTGACTCTTATTGACAATAGTATTACATTCCTCTCGGTGCCAGACAAGCCAGTCACGATTGCTCTAATTCGCTGCAATTCCTGTAGGCCAGGATCTACAGTAGATACAACCATGAAAACACCGGAACACTGAAGTCCGCCGCGTCCCAGGGACGTGAATGACTGTCTTGGATCCCGCAACGAAATAAATCAGAAGATATTAGAAAAAACGAAATAGTTTCCACTTCCCTCGGTGAATTGAATGCAGGAGACAGAATGACTTAGGCCTTAAAGGCACAGAAGAGACTGTACAACTGGGAGAAGCCCAGTCACCAAACACCATGGAAAATTTAAGATCTCTCTTTTTGTGTATATGATATACTAGCTTCCGCCCGCGGCTTCGCGTAATATGTTGATAAAAAGTAGTCGCGTAATATGTCCTATTCCGGAGTGTATCCTGTGCTTATGCCAAATTTAATCCAGATCCATCCAATCGTTTTGACGTGATTCACACCCGGTTTCCGAAAGGCCGATCAATGTTAAAATCAATTTAATCTCTTGCCAAGTCATCTGATTGGTTCACTGAATTATCAACAACCAATCAGATGACTTGACAAGACATTTAATAGGAGATTAGTTAATTTTAGCGTTGACAAGCCTTTCAGAAACCGGACGTGAGTAACAAACATTCGCACATAGTAGTAAGTTAACTTATTTTTTCTTTCGTTAGGTATCGACAGCCGTAGCTGTATTTGAGGATGGTGCCCCGCCCCGCGCCTCAGTTCCCGACACCCCCTCTCATCCCTGAATACTTCGCGGGGAGAGAGGTCCTCATCACAGGAGCTACCGGGTTCATGGGAAAGGTGGGTATTATCGAAAACTTTAGCGAAACAAGCAAATAGCTTCACTATGACACTGACTGATTTTATTATTTATACTATATCTCCTCTCGTGCGGTTTCACTAGTTCCTCCGTTTCTACAGATCCTAGCGTGATGTTTTATAGCTTAATGCCTTCCTCAATAAATGGACTAAAGAACACAAAAAGAATTGTTCCATTCGAACCAGTAGTTTTGGAGATTATCGCGTCGAAACAAACAAACATAAATTAACTAAAATTCGCGGGTTACTCACGTGTAAATGTGGCTGCGCGACGTCGCCGCGTCCGCGCACGCTGCTCATGAGGAAGAACCCCTCTGTGGTTCGAAACTAGTAGAGCTTTTCTCAACATTTACACGTGAGTAACCCGCGAATTTTAGTTAATTTAGTATGTCTCACGATAGTTATTATAAAAACAAAACAAACATAATCTACAGCTTCATAATATTAGTAGGTATAGATTTTTAAATATTTCGTTTGTCATTCAAAAGTTACTAATTCGTGTGATTGGATTAAATGATTTGGCCCTGATTGTGACCTTGAACACGTTGCCGCCATAGGTGTTGTGTTACTTCCTGTAAGTATTTTTTTTTGTAAAGTAGGTAACTATCGTAAGTCGAACTAAATATTTTTTTATGTAATAGTTCGACAGACGAGCATACGAATTACCTGATGGTAAGCAATCAGCGCCGCCCATGGAGGAGTAACGAGTGCGTTGCCGACCTTTTTTGGAGATTAAGGGGACGGATCGGGGGAGGGGAAAGATTGGGCCTCCGGTAACCTCACTCACACGGCCAAACACAACGCTGTGGTTGTTTCACGGTGGTATTCTGTGAGTCCGTGGTATCAAACCGGTCGAGCCGACCCATTCGTGCCGGAGATTGGTTCTCCCACACTTTTATTGCAAACTAGCTTCTCTCGTGCAGTTTCACCCGGCTCCATTTGATTGAAGAGTGCAGTTTTATAGCCTATAGCACTCAGGAACATTGTAGCTATCTATCAGTAAAAGAATGTTGGCAATCCGACCAGCGGTTCCAAAGATTATCCCCTACATACAATCTTACAATTTTTACCTCTTTATAATATTAGTATAGATAACGACGTAAGTACGGGAATAAACTGAAAACAGCTCAACTAGTTTGAATTCCCAACGGGACTCTTGGAAGCAGCGTGCAAGCTTGATCAGTCAGTTCGTTCCGACGCGCACGCCGCTCATAAATATGAGTCCCGTTGGGATTAAGTCGTTATTTTAATACCTTCGTAAAATTGGTCCTAATATAGTCCCTTTTTTATGTAATAGGTCGGCAAACGAGCAGACGGATTACCTGATGGTAAGCAATCAGCGCCGCCCATGGACACCCGCAACGGAGGAGTTACAAGTGCGTTGCCGATCTTTTAGGGATTAGGGATTTGGAGATTTAGGGATTGAGGAGGGATTGTGGGAGGGGAAGGATTGGGCCTCCGGTAACCTCACTCACACGGCCAAACACAACGCTGTGGTTGTTTCACGCCGGTTTTCTGTGAGGCCGTGGTATCACTCCGGTCGAGCCGACCCATTCGTGCCGAAGCATGGCTCTCCCACACTTAAGTGCACTTTATTAGTTTTTCGATTGTTATAAAGCAATCGCTTCGTATAGAGCAAAATGTATGTGAATGTCAATTTATGGGCAACAAGCTTTTGTCCGACACTTTGTTCGCGTCGAATAGTGACTTTCTGCAGGTTTTTGTTTGAATAACTATCCTATGAACTTTCTCGAGTTCCAAACTATGTCTGTACCAAATTTTACAGAAATAGGTCTAGTAGTTTAGGCATGAAGAAAAAACAGATAGACAGACAAAGTTACTTTCGCATTTATAATATTATATAGTTTGGATATAGTTTGGATAACATGTCCTCTAGGTGTTAGTGGAACGCCTCCTGTGGACTTGTCCCGACATCGGCCGACTGCATTTGCTCATGCGACATAAGCGGGACGTCGCGCCTGACAAGAGGCTGGCACTGCTTAAACAATCACAGGTATCCAACATCCACTGTCCGTTATCCATCATCTATAATCTACCATCCAACATCCACAGGCCATCAACTATCATCTATTAGACATCGTCCATAATCCGTCGGCCATCATCCATTTTTCAAAATCCTTCATCAATCACCTCCATCAACCATCATCCATCATCCATCGTCTATCGTTCATCATCCATCTTCCAGGGTATATCATCCACCAACCATCAATTGACATCGTTCATCCGTTATCTGTCACTCGTCATACCCTTATTGATCATCCATCATTACAGTACTCACTGCCCCATTGGTTTGTCCGGCAGGTGTTCGATGTGGTACGCGAGCGATGCCCGCAGCAGTTGGACAAGCTATGTATGGTGCCCGGTGACGTCACCAAGCGACGGTTCGGCTTCGACCAGTCTGCCTTGAACCAACTCAACCAGGTCAGTATTGAGTAGTAGGGGATCTTATTACAATGGAAATGTTTTTACTTGGTATTCTTAAAGTTTTTTAATTCAGACCTGCCTGCCAAGCGTCGTCGCTTGAGGGTTAATGTACCGAAGCCCTGGACCGGAGCAGGAGTAGGAACGGGATGGTTAACTGCAAATGAGCAGTTGGATTACCTGATGGTAAGCAATTATCGCCGACCATGGACACCCGCTACAACGAAGGAGTTACAAGTGCGTTGACGACCTTTTGTGGATTAGGGATTTAGAGATTTTGGTATTCGGGAGAAATTAGAGGAGGGAAAGGATTGGGCCTCCGGTAACCTCATTCACGCGGCGAAACACGATGCGGTTGTTTCACGCCGGTTTCTGTGACGCCGGCATGCTTACCCCACACTTTCACAAGTCAAAATAGAAAACGGAAAGGCGACTCCAACTTAGGTCTTCCGAGAAGACCTAAGTGGTTAAATTATCATTGCGCCCTCCAGGTGTCGGTGGTGTTCCACTCGGCGGCGACGCTGAAGTTCGACGAGCCGCTGTCGGTGGCGGCCGAGCAGAATGTGCGCCCCGTGCTGACACTCATGGACATCTGTGACCAACTGCCTAACATGCAGGTAGGTGACGGTAGTTGATGATGGAAGATGGATAGTGGGTGATGGATGATGAGTGATGAATTTTGGATAGTGGATAGTAGATGATTGGTCATGGATGCTGGATCATGGATGATGGATGATGGGTGGTGGATTTTGGATGGTGGATGGTGAATGGTGGATGGTGGATGGTGGATGGTGGATGGTGGATGATGAATGATAGGATAGTGTATGGTAGGTAAAGGATGATGAATGATGGATGTTGAACGATTAATGATGAGTAGAGATAAACAGTAGACCGAACTGACAATGTTCCGAGAAATAAAGAAAGAAGAAAGAAAAATGCATTTATTTGGCAGAATTCCGGAATTTGAGTTTTTTTTCCAATCCCCAACTTACACATCCATCATAAACTGCATATCACAGCAACTATGATACCTCCACTCGTCTCCCGGCAGGTACTGGTGCACGTGTCGACAGCGTACAGCAACGCAGAGCTGGCTGAAGTGGAGGAGCGTGTCTACCCGGCGCCCGTGACTCCCGAGCATTTGCTGGCGCTGGTCGACGCTCTCCCGGCGAGCATGCTGCAGGAGATCACACCCAGGTCAGACAATTACAACAAGGCCCAAGTACAAAGATCCACCCGAGCGTAAGGTGGGTAGCGTTCCGCGTGCGCCTCAAAGACCCAATAGACCATAACAAACGGGGTCCTATAGGCCTGATGTTCACCACGGGTACGGCCTAAAGCAGGAGGAGGGACGGGGAGGTTTTTAGTCTGTAAGAGTCTGACACTCTCTCTCGCCTTACCCTGGGCGGGAAAAGTCATTTGATGATTTTCCCCTGAAGAAAAAGAAGAGATACGGTGATATATTACACTTAAAGCATGGGACGAATGGGCCCGAGCGGTACCGTGTACATCACATCATCATCCTATAAGTGCCCATTGCTTTGCAAAAAGGCCTCTTCTCACACGGAGAAGGTTTGAGCATTAACCACCAAGCTTGCTCAAGCCAAGTCTACGATTTCAAACTTGTAATTTACTTGAATTGTCCTGAATATTAGGTGCCTGACCTAGGACATTCTCTGTTTCAGGCGAGAGTTGGTAAAGAAATCTTACATTGAAGTCTTTGTTTAGCTTAGGGCCTTTTCCTTCTGTTGTATCCATATTTCCCACCTAGTCTGTATTGTTTTCTATCACAGATTGATCGCTCCGAAGCCCAATACCTACACGTTTACCAAGGCAGTAGCTGAGAGCGCAGTCAGCGAGCGAGCCGTCACCGCCCGCTACGCGTGTGCCATCTTCAGACCTACAATAGGTACTAACTTTTAATTTTACCAGTAATTCACACGCACAACACAACCTCGCTTTTTTACAAAGTCGGTTAACTCTGTGAATACGGTCAGCGTTGTGTGTAGACGTCCTAATATGGTAGAAAATGTAAATAAAAGGGTAGATGAAAATTCATCGCCCGAATGCAGGGAGCTGTGACATCGCATCTTCAGTCTGCTTGCGACCACGACCTGTGCAACCAGGTCGAAACGTCAAGCTGCAATACTATTAGACTGTAATTAATGAATTATATAATTAAATTAAATCAAATTCTTTATTTCAGACTAGACATCCATAGGGTAGAAAACATTAGTTAGTATTTTAATATTTATCAATTATTGACACGGACATGAGGACGCACATGTCTACTTGCCTAGTGTCCATCAATTATGTCTGCCAGTATAGCTAGTATACTGTTAGAACTGTCTTTCAATCGCCGCATCATGGATGCACATTGCTTGCGTATAATGACATTAAAGTCATTTATTCTGGCTTCCGCAAATATTCCAGACGCGCTATACCTTTAAGGCAGTCCCAGCAGCATCCTTAGCGCTTTATTATATAGAACATTATTCATCATCATTTGCCTACAAGTGCCCACTGCAGGGCAAAGGCCTCTTCTCTTCTATAAGTCCAGGTTTGGTGTCTAAATCATAGAAAGTAAATACTTGGAAAAAGTCACCCTCAAGCATGAAAAGCAGGCGCCTTACCCTGTGGGCTACCACATCATTACCAGTCGGCGAATTATTACATTATCATTATGTAGCTTATACAAGATATCTGCTTTTTTATTTGATATGTGATAGGTCGGCAAACGAACCTACGGATTACCTGATGGTAAGCAATCAACGCCGCCCATGGACACCCGTAACGACGGAGGAGTTACGAGTGCGTTGCCGACCTTTTGGGAATTAGGGATTTAGGGATTAGGGAGGGAAAGGATTGGGCCTCCGGTAGCCTCACTCACACGGCGAAACACGACGCTGTGGTTGTTTCACACCGGTTTTAGTGAGGCCGTGGTATCACTCTGGTCGACCCGACTCATTCGTGTCGAAGCTTGGCTCTCCCACACTTAATCTTCAAGATCTAAGATCCCACTTTTAGGACATAAACAACAAGTTGAAGAAAAGCTTGCTTATTTATTTGCTGCATTATCACGTTCCAGTGGTATCCTCCCTGCGCCACCCGTTCCCCGGCTGGATAGAGAACCTGAACGGTCCCAGCGGCGTGGTGGCGGGCGCCGGCAAGGGGCTGCTGCGCGTCCTGCGCTGCGGCGCTCAGCGGCGCGCTGACATGATGCCCGTCGACATCTGTATCGATACCTTGATCGCCGTCGCCTGGGAGACTGGGATCGATAAGTTAGTCTCGCATTTTGATACCTAATACTGAAACAGCACTATATTGAAACTGTTTTTTTTTTTTGATAAAACGTTGCCCCAAACTAGGATTTTCTCCTGTGTCGTACACGCACCCGCGTTTATTAGCATACAATTTCACATACACACAACAATTTGTGGATGACACAAAAAGTTGATTCGTGCGGGACTGAGGCGGGAATCTAACCCGCGACACGTTCCGCGGCAGCCAGTTGCCTAGCCACCGCTTCAACCGTGCAGTCGAGTTCTATTCATCCTATTTGACTACTGTCAAATGGACTGTTAGAATGATGCCATACTTGGCATGTTATTACAACTCCCATTCCTCCCAGCCTGAGGGAAGCTCGCGTGTACCAGTGCGCGTCCAGCTCGCACGCCGCCACGTGGGGACAGTTCCGGGAGCGCATGCTGCGGCTGGTCAGGGAGCATCCCTTCGACAACGTGCTCTGGTACCCTTATGGAGTCATCTGCGAGAATACGTGAGTTTCACTCTTATATCCTACTGTTAGGAAGATAATTGGGCGAAAATTTTTGACGTCAAAAATATCAGTATAGAATGAAAGAAAAATAAAGAAAAAGTATTTATTCGCGTCTAGGACGCACATAAGACACAATACAGACAAGTGAATAAAGACAAAAACAAAAAAAAACCCATTGTAATACAATATAAAAAAGAGTAATATAAAGAAAAATATGCGTCACAAACGCGAAATGGCCCTCGCTCAGCGCATCGACACTATGCGAGACAGCGTCGCAGCGCTGATTTTCAGCGGTGGTCGGTGGGTATGGGTCTAATTGAAATAAATGATTTTTGACTTTTTCGACTTTGGGGTAAAATTTGGGTAAACTACTATTTCCAAACATCTTCAAAAGGTTTGAAATGTCGAAACTTAAGAATATACTTTTAAAAGAGTAACGAACGGAATTTCTTGGTCGTTCTTCTCCACTTGAATCTACAATTTGGAACGAGCACCTAGCTTCACTGACGACCTCTATTTTAACGTTTCAAAAGTACCTATTTGTAGTTTAGTTGGAATACATGATTTTGACTTTTGACTTTTTGACTTTTATGTCAAGAAGAGCTCCCGTTGAAGACCAAAAAACAAAAAAAAAAAACAAACAAAAATGGAACGGTTCCAATATGACGATATTAAATGAAAATTATTATTGGTGCCAGGGTTGAGGGTCAAGTGCCACGTCCTCGGCCTAGAGCAGTAGAAGAAATGAGGGTTTTTAATCAGTAAGAGTCTGACACTCCCTCTTGTCTCATGCTGGGCGAGAGAAGGTCATTTGATGCTTTTCCCCTTACAAAAAAAGAAGAAATTATTGGTCAGTTTTTTATGAGACGGAGAAAGGTAAACGGTAGTCAAGCACTCGCATATCCTTACGGTAAACGACTACCGCTACCGATGGACTTCAGAAACACTTGAAGAGGCACAATATGTAGATCAGGGCCTTATCTTTACTTCTATTCTAATAAATATTAAAAAGAGGTAACTGTTAGTTTGTATGTAGGGGGTAATCTTTGGAACCGCAGGTCGGATTCCTAAAATTCTTTCACTGGTAGATAGCTACAATGTTCCTGAGTGTCATAGGCTATATTTTAGTCGTGTACGAGAGGTAATATTTTCGGAACGCGCTGCTTGGTAAAAATAAGTTACTTTGATTCGCAGCGATTTGATTTAACAGTTGTTTGTGTTCCAGTGTGGTCCAGAAAGTGCTGGAGGCGGTGCTGCAGACGGCGCCGCTGTGTGTCGCGCACTGCGTCGCCCGAGCGTGCGGACTCAAGCAGAAGTATGTCACTGATACAATATACATTCTTTTTATATGAAACTACGGCTAACGAGCCGTCGGATTACCTGATGGTAAGCAAGATGTCAGAAAGCAAGTATATTAGACATTCAGGATTCTATATTGCGAGGAGTTACACAACGGTAGGATAAGGAACGTAAGAGAATATCGTTTTTATGTCATAGATCGGCAAACGAGCAGACGGATTAGCTGATGGTAAGCAATCAGCGCTGCCCATGGATACCCACAACAACGGAAGAGTTATATGAGTGCGTTGCCAGATTCCTAATAAACAAGGCAGAGCCTTGTAAGGATTAGGGATCTGGAAATTTTTGGATTGGAGGAGGATTCGGCCTCCAATAACCCCATTCACACAAGCAGAAAGAATCACCAATCACCTGATGGTAAGCACACACAACAGCGAGGAGTTTTTATGTGAGAGGATAGCATACGTGCTGACTGATTGATTACCTGATGGTAAGCAATCAGCGCCGCCCATGGACACCTGCAACAACGGAAGAGTTACGAGTGCGTTATCGACCTTGTGGGAATTTGGAGATTATGGGATTGAGGGAAGGGAAGGATTTGGCCTCCAGTAACCCCACTTACGCGGCGAAACACAACGCTATGGTTATTTCACGCCGGTTTTCTGTGAGGCCGTGGTATGACTCCAGTCGAGCCAACCCATTCGTGCGGAAGCATGGCACTCCCACACTACAATGTTAAATATACTGCAGTACGGTCAGTGAAGTAACTAAGTGCTATGGCCGTGACGGTTCGAGTCATAAGCCAACGTAAAGTACTCCAATGTTACACTGTTCTCACATATCAGAACCGACTAAATGATGTTATAAAGAAATGAATTGTGAAACTGATTGTAAAAGAGTAACCATGGAGTTTCTTGCTCGTTCTTCTCCATAGGAATCTACACTTTGGAACGAGCCAATAGCTTCACTAGAGGACTGACCGACAGACTGACAGTTTTTGTCTTTAAGTTTTCTTCGACGTTGCAAAGTGCATGTAGGGGTCTAATTGAAATGAATGGTTTTGACTTTGACTTCGTAAAAGCACCTACAAAATACGAGCACCTACAAATTCCGAACTTTAGGCAACGGTCAGTTACATTTGTGTGTTTTCTTGGTAATACAGTGTACACAATGGAACATTATTTTTATTCTATTGAACATAACGTAAGTAGATTAAAGTTTCGAAACTTGGTGGCTTTTTCTCCCTCTCCTTTAAAAGCAGTTGATTCTAGCTCTAACCTTTATTTGTTCCCCAGTGGTGTTGGATTAAAATCCGGCGTGAAATAACCACAGCGTTTCGCCGTGTGAGTGAGTTGACTGGAAGCCTAATACTTCCCCTCCCCATTCCTTCCCAATTCTTAGATAAATATCCGAAACCCTTATCCCTAAAAGGCCGGCAACGCACTCGTAACTCCTTTGGTGTTTAGGGTGTCGATGGGCGGCGCTGATTGCTTACCATCAGGTAATCCATCTGCTCGTTTACCGATCTTTTACATAAGAAAACAATTTTTTATTCAGGCCGAGCCTGTGGACGGCATGCAAGCGTCTGCAGGCGATGAACCAGGCGCTGCAGTTCTTCGCGACGCGGCACTGGAGCTTCCGCACCACGCGGGTACAACAGCTCGCACACAGGCTGCACCCGGACGACCAGAAGCTCTACAACCTCAGGCCGGAGACTATCGAGTTAGTACTACATGCAGCATATACAGAATCTGACAGTCTACTTTTGGTTATAAGAATGCTCTTCCACTACAGAAGAGAGATTTTGCCTGCATGGTCACTATTTATAGGTATTTTTAATTATTTTCCGGTTACCGTAAGCCTCAGGGGTCTGTGGACGGCGTGTAAGAGCTCGCCGCCCAACTAGAACTAGACCCGAGCGTACGGCGCGTAGCGTTCCGCGCGCGCCTCAAGGAGCCAATAGACCACCACAGACGGGGCCCTATAGGGCTGATATTTAGCCGGGGTTGCGGGGTAAGCGCAATGAGGCACCGCGACCTCGGCACAGAGCAGGAGAAGGAACAGGGGGTTTTTAGTCAGTAAGAGTCTGACACTCCCTCCCGCCCGGCCCTGGGCTGGAGAAGTCAGTTGATGATTTTCCCCTCACAAAAAAAACCTACTCTTCTTCTTAAGGATCTTATGGCAACTTACATGTGTCAACCGCATCACCTGAGAAGTGTGTTTAAAGTAAAGCTAAAGCTAAGTTTTTGGCGTTACAGTTGGGAGCAGCACTGCGTGGACTTCGTGAAGGGCGCGCGCCGGTACCTGCTCCGAGAGCGAGACGACGATATACACGCCGCGAAGAGGAGGATGCGAATGTAAGTAGATAATATTTATTTAATCATATAGTCTTAAAAACTGTTTTCCTTTGCCTAGTTATTTGTTTGAGGATGAGATTTTGAACAATTTTTGTGTCCGTTGTTACTATATATCGTTGTCCGTGTGTTACTATATACTAATGTGACGTTGGATACCTCCTTCTTGATTTATATGAATACTGGAAACTTATTACGATTAAAGTTACATTCCAATGAAAAACATGATTTAAGCTGGTATAAAAATGTCTTAGATTATATTTTATTCATTAGAATTCGTTAAGTTGGTACCTATCACCTTACAGATGATAAATTATTTGGATAGAACTTTATACAGCGCCATCTGTTAGTAGACTCATATAACTAAAATTAAATTTTCCTTAATGGTAATTTACCGTTTTTTCATTGTTAACATTTTGATACAATCCCATTAAAAACATATTTCGAAACTAATCGATAACTTTAATTTTGCAGATTATACCTGATTCACAAGGCTACATTGTTATTGGCAATTTTCACCATGTGCCGTTTGACGATTCGGACAGCGCCTGCCATCTTGTGGGGAGTAGCAGCAATAACTCGACAACGGAATAAATTCGCGCTACTAAGTTGATACAGTTTTATACATATAATTTAATAATGAATTTAGTATAAATAAAATAGGGCTAGAGGATTTAATTTTAAGGGAGCTCATGTATTTTTTTATTATATTGATGTATATAAGTTCATTTCATACAACACATTTCAAATCTAGTATGCATGAAGTTCAAAGGAACTGAAATACCTACACCGTACGGTGTGAAAACTGTGCTTCATAGAATTCATTAAATCGTGAACAATAGCTTTAGTTTTTTACTTGACATTTATATGAAAGAAAAAGAAATACTTGAGCGTTTAATTCGTACGGAGTACAGATTGTAAGCGCTCAAGAATTAGGTACTATCGCGGGATTTGGACAATCTGAAGAAGATATTTTCTTTTCTATTTATGATTGTTTTATTTTTACAATGATGCTACATAACGGTAAAGGTTTACCAGTATTAGTTACTCAACTTATAAGTTTTCATGTAATATATAAGCAGTTGACAAAGTCTTATGACATTGTTACCTTAGTAATGAAATGTATGTTTACGTGGCACGAGTTTAACGACAAACTTAATTAAAAGTACAAAATGTTTACATAAAATTTGTTGTCCTTGATATCCTTAGAATATAATTCTGCTATACGTGCATAGTATATAATTGAACTCCTCCTAAACGGATGAATTTTTCTGTCTGCGTTTGAGTTGCGCTCTGGATGGCATAGATTCACAAATCAGTCCGATAGATGGCGCTGTTTCCTTGAAAAAGCAATGTGATATCGGAAACGGCCCTAACGATTTCACTGAAATTTGATTTGTGAGGTTTTTGCGGAGGGTCCGCTAGTATATCGTATAAGATTTTAGAATTGAAAGTTCTTATGGAAACCCGTGCCACGTAATGTCTCTAGGGATCGTAGGTACTGTACTGTTTGTCCGACTGTGAGAAAATAGATAGGTATTGTGTTTTTCATGCAATAGGTAATACTCTTCCTTCTCCTTAATAAGTAGATTAGCGTGTATCAAGGCCTAGTCTATTTAATAAAGAATATCGCAATTATTTAAAAAGTCTTTTATTTTTATTTTTAACCTAACCTAACCTAACGTTCTCGTCCGGTATTTACGAAAATTTATTTAACCACAGCGATGTGTTTCGCCGTGTGGTAATTAATTCCTCTGGTATTGCGAGTGTCCATGGGCGGCGCTGATTGCTTACCATCAGGTAATCCGACTACTCGTCAAACCTATACCATAAAAGAATTTGAATTTCGAATTCAAACTCGTATTAATAGACAAGTGGAAGACAGAAAAAAATATTTAAAAGGACGATTCTTCTAGTACAAAAAAAAAGATTTAAGTACAGTAATGTAAGCCCAGTGGCTAGTCTTGTATTTCATTATGGTTAAGGGGAAGCCCTAACTAGGCGCTTCATTAGTCATAGCTTATTGATGTAGGGCATCATTACCTACTCACTTGAAGTACCTAGATGTAGGTAAAAGACACAGGGTTTTTATAGGGGGAAAATTATCAATTGACTTCTCCCATCCAGTGTCACTCTTACTGACTAAAACCCTCCCCGTTCCTTCTCCTACTCCAAGCCGCGACCACGGTATCTTATGGCGCTAGCCCCGCAACCCCGGCTGTACATCGGCGCTGTTGGGCCCCGTCTGTGGTGGTCAGGGTGTAACTACAACCTCAACGCCACGGTTGGTGCATCTGCAGTGCGATATGTCTCGTCCTCGGTTCTCAGACGCATCAAGATGTTTCTTTGCATGATCAATAAATGGCTTTTCCGGGACTGTGTGACTTTTTACTAGTATTTTCTCCTGTGTCGTGAATGCATTTACAAACATACAAATTCACATGCACAAGCCACCCAGACCCGGAACAACAATTTCCTAGAAAGAAGATACTCTAGTCCGTATTACGAACTCAAGTTCGTAGCACAAAGAGCCCACAGACCGGAGATGGGGCGCTACAGGGCTATTATATATGGCCGGGGTAGCGGGTCAAGTGCTGCGGCCTTGGCCTGGATCAGGAGAAGAAACGGAACGGGAGTGGCTTCTAGGCAGTAAGAGTCTGACCCTTCCTCTCGCCTCAACCAGGTAGAATTACTTTTCCCGGAGTACCTATGTACCTCATGACACAGGAGAAAATCCTAGTCAGTGGCATAGAGAAAGAAATCAGCTTAGCGTTCCGCACACGACTCAAATAGCCAAAAGAGCATCATAGATGGCGGCTCAACAGGACTGATATTCAGGCAGGGTAGCGAATCAAATGCAAGCAAGTATCGCGGCCTTGGCCTGGATCAGAAGAAGAAATGGAGTGTTTTTAGTTAGTAAGAGTGTGACACTACCTCTCGCCTCTCACTGGCCGAGAGAAGCGAGTAAAACTAAGCGTGGCAACGTGTCGTTCGGCGTGGAGGGCTAAGGGTGAGGCCTTTGTCCAGCAGTAAACGAGTTCCGGCTGATGATGATGATGATGATCTTGTAACTAAATAATTCAGACACATCACAAGTAAACTTTAAAGTGAAAAACCTTCATCAATCAGATTTTCGAAGAAACGATAATGTGGAAAAAAATAACAGACTTTATGATATAGTTTATTGTAAGTATGTAAGTACGGTTTCTGTACTTGAGCTGAGTACTGACTCAGTTTGTGGTTACAACGATAAAGTTGCAGTTAACTAGTTAATGACAAATAAACACTGATCGATAGTAAAACGACGCGTTTTCCTGGAAAATATAAATCTGCTTGTTCACGCTCAACTTTAGTACCTGCATATATTCACTGTAGGTGAATGGAACAAACTGTGTTACTTCGAGAGGACATCTTAAGTACTCAACTATCTAGGTACCGATCGGCCTTTAACTTTTTTATGATATAGGTCGACAAACAAGCAAGCGGATTACCTGATGGTAAGCTATCAGGGCCGCCCTTGGAGCATGCATGCATGCAACACCAAAGGAGTTACGAGTGCGTTGCCGCTGTCTTTTGGGATTTAAGAATAGGGGATTTGCGGAGTGAAGATGCGGTGGTAGGAAGACTTGAACTTTCGGTAACCTCACTCGCACGGTAGAGATGAGGGTTTTGGAAATTTAAGGATTGGGAAGGGATGGGGGTAGGTAGGGGTATTGGATTGTCGGTAGCCTCCGGTAACCCCACTCACACGGCGAAATAAAACACCGTGGTTGTTTCTCGTCGGTTTTCTGTGAGGCCGTGGTATCACTCCGGTCGAGCGGACCCATTCGTGCCAAAGCTTGACTCTCCCACACTGAGCTAAAGTATTGAATGTTTGTATATTCATCTTTTTGATTGCACGGTCGGTGCAGTGACCGGGCAACTGTTACTGGCTGCTGTTCATCATGCCGCATAGGTTCGACTTCCGCACGGAACAATTCTTTGTGTGATCAACAATTTGTTGTTTCGGGTCTGTGTCCATTATTGTTATATATATTATAATGTTTAGCACATAGGCCAGAGGCCTTTGTTTAGCAGTGGCCATACGGAGAAGGTTTGAGTATTAATCACCACGCCTGCTCAAGGCCAGTTAGCGATTTCAAACTTATATAATTAGAAATTATAAGTTCAGGTTTCCTCACGATGTTTTCCTTCACCGTATGTCAGTGGTGTCTAAATAATTATAGAAAGTACATATAACTCTGAAAAAGTCACATTGGTACTTGCCAGGTTTAGATTATGTTTTATATTTCTTTTTTTTAAAAAAACCTTGCCCTCTTTAGGATTTTCTCCTGTGTCGTGGGTGCGTTTACAAACATACAATTTCACATACACATGACACCCAGACCCGGAACAACAATTTGTGGATTTGAATTTATTTATTTCTATGCGCCTTAACCTCCAAGTCCGGGCCACTACATACATTCATTCACACACCTGCACGCTACATGTATACCTACATCAGATGCTGCCCGCCATACTTATCTTGAGCAATTTTCCCCAAACACTGGTATTCCCCGACGATCGCTTTCAACCTGACTGCTTCAATGAACAACTTGGTCCATTACTGCGTGTCTCGGTAAGGGAAACGGCCGTAAAAGTTTTTGTACGAATAGGCAGTGATATAAAGGCTTCACAGAAAACCGGCGTGAAACAACCACAGCGTTGTTTTTCGCCGTGTGAGTGAGGTTACTGGAAGCCCAATTCTTTCCCTCCCCCAATCTCAACCCAACCCAAAAATTCACAAACCCTATTTATTTTTTTATTTATTTATTCATCAATGAAATAGGTACATTTTAAGCTTTGCGACTTTAAAAAATGTCTGACTATACTATACGCATAGTTTGTCTGTCGGATCAAAAATCCCCCAAAACGTCGGAAACGCACTCGTAACTCTTCGTGTCTATGAGGGGCGCTGATTGCAATCCGTCTGTTCCTGTTCATTTGACGTCTCACAAAAAATAATAATTTTAAAATGAGTTCACTCTGGAAACCAAGAAAGGAGTTTTATGTAACAAGGAGTATTCTGTTGAGGCTAGTTATCTACCAATCCTTACTTATTAACTTGGTGATTGCTTACCATCAGGTAATGATCAAGTATGCTGACATATCACAAAAATAAATCTATTACATCTCAAAGTTTCCTCGAAAAGCACGCGTCATGTAAAGTGTATTATTATTTCTATGAATTACTCACAAAGACATTGAAAGTGTTGCGGAAATGACTAAGTCAAATATTGGCGCGCGCCGGCCATTGCGAATTGCGACCACAGATACAAAATACGTCACAATACAAAGCAGGTTGGAGCGCGGAGGTTGAATGCACCGCAGCGGGCTTTCCCAATAAGTGGAAAAAATTGATAAAAGGGATTTACTGGAAAAGATGAAGAGAATTTTCCCTTTGGATCAGTTTTCTGGTTTGTTATGTGTTAGTCACTTAGTGGTTTAGGAGTTACAAGTTTCTGCGGTAAGGATCCGATTCCTGCAACTCATTGTTGGTTTAATAGCAAGAGGGATGGCTCCAACAAGTGTGGGAGAGCCATGCTCCAAGCGATACCACGACCTCAGAGAAAA